TTTAATTCATAATGTATATTATGTTTATTAGTAATATGCAAGAGGAAACGATTTAAATGGGGAAAAAAAAAGCATTGAATGTCATTTCTATTTGCCTCAACTTCCCTAACCTGAAAGATGGGAGCTGTATCACATTGTTACTCCAGTTCCATTTAAATTCTATGTGGAAACCAGAACAAATCAGGTGCTTAGTACATGTTAAATTAATAATAATTAATAATTCAGAGATGACAGTTTCTTCTAAAATAATAATCATCCACACTTGTACAGCATGTCATGGTGTACTGAGTCCATTACCACATTCAATACCTCTCCACATCTGCAGGTCAGACACCAGAATGCCCACCTGGCAGTGAGGAAAAAGAGACCAGGAACCACCCGAGGGGGAGCCAGGACCCAAACCTACAAACCTTGATAATCCAGTGTTCTTCCTATTATCTTGAAGCAGGACTAGCATTGTCAGAAATATTGTTTTCTTTTGGCACATGTTAAATCAATATTTATATTCTAATTTAGGAAACAAGGCGGCTCCTTGCTATTTGCATATTGTAATAGCCTTCAGGATGATTATGGGATAGATCTTTTGAAAAAAGGAGCCACATGTTTACACTACTTCACTGCTTTTAGAAAAGTATGATGTATGACATTTACCAAATGCTGCAGCACAATTAGCCATCATTGGGAGTACTGTGAGGAAACTGCAAGAGGGAGATAGGTAGAAAACCCAAATTTTCAATGACTTCTTTACAGCTAAAAGATTAAAGGTAACTATCCTGCCCTATGGAGACCCCACAAAACCTCTTAAGGTCTCAAGGGTTCCCATCTCTATTCTGTACCACATGAACAACCAACTCCAACTTGTACTTAAACTTCTGTACTACAGTCTCATCTAATCCAAAATGATTAATGTGAAGAAAATGTATAAAATATTGTATTATAATGCTCTGGGGCCAATATTACATGATGAGACAATCATAGTAGTTTTTGTCTCACTATTGCTTAATGTTATTATTATTGGCTGTGATTAGTTCTGTTACTATGCTTCCTAAGCTAAGAATCAGTCCAAGATTTTGCTTTGAATTAGTAATCAACATAAAGTACCCAATTTATTAAAGTCCCAATCAAGAATCAGAACAAGAAACCAAAAGTAAACTTTCTTACTTCTAAGTCAATAGGACAATTATTCTTCATAAATAATCTTTGCGTTCAGAATCTAATTTACAGAGCTATGTAAGGAAATGGAAACAAGATGTCTTAAGCTATTTAACAAGTACAACTAAGGGTAACCGTTCTTAGAGCTGGCTATAGCTGCCTGGTATCTGCCCTGGTTCAGTTTAGAGTTTAGACTGTGGTAGTATCTCAGTGCTCTGGGTAATAACCAGAGAGCATTCACATGGCTATTGATGAGGAAATGCAATCAGGGAAACACAGCCTTAAAATCACTACAAAGGCTCGTCACAAGAATCCTAGGCTGCCTGCTCAAGCCACGCGTTTGTGGAAGGCGGCCTCGGCTTACACCATGAGACTTCTGATTCAGACTTCTCCTGATTAGCGCTGTGGGCACTCTGCTCTGCTTACCCACCCAACACTCCTTCCTTCAGCTGTGACAACTTTCTTGCAACCAAACTACTGAAACTACTCTTTCAAAACAACCGCCTCTGAGACACCCCAGTTTTCCTACTGTCTGGCTATTTTAGATTTTGCACCTCATTCCCCCAATTCTTCCTCCTCTTCCTGTCCACCAAACATGGTTATTTTGAGAGTTATAAGGCAACAGAAAAAGGAGTCTCAAGCACTCTACATAGAAATCTTACTTGTGATGAAACTCCTTACTGCTCCATAGAATTATGTCAGCTCAAGATGATCACAATGCTTATTGTTATTTAGTAAGCGTAGCTTGCAAAGGGAGGTTCATCAGATGTTATCAGTTCAACTGTAATTACAGAAACGCTTTGATACATTCCATTCACTCCCACATCCGCGCTGACAACGAACTCCTGGACATTTCCACCTAGATCAATGAGCATTCAGCAAGTCCACAACGAAATCTATCACATCCGTCCATCTACTGCCCCTCCTGCTGGCCCGCTCATCACAGTTAAGGGCGTCCATTCTCATGAGTCCTTTCAACTGCACTCTCTACTCGTGAGCTGCCTTGTGCACTCTACCTCTCTGAGGTCTTCGCCTCTGTCTCCGCTACATCTACCCTGCTTCAAGCTCTGCATGCTCCATGCCATCACCCAGTCTTCAGGCTTTCCCTTTGCAATCTATACCACTTCCTTTCATCAGTATGTTAAGAAACATATAAAGCTGGCCACTTCTTTTCTTAGGTCTTCTTAAGACATTTTCCTAAGACTTCCATGACATCTTGCTTTCTTCTGAAAAAAATCCAAAGTCCCTCACATGACACTTCTGAAAGACCTAATACAGTCTACTTTTCCATCATTATTCTCATTAGTTACTCTTCCCAAGTTTCAGTCAAACTGGCCTATCACATTTTAGTCTGCCAACATGACTTGGAAATTCCTTTTTTTTTATTTGGAGATTTCTATTTCCCTGTTTTATATAGGATAACTTCACTTATTCTATTCTATTCTTACATGCCACAAATCTTCCCCACTTGTCAATGTTCAACTTAAGGGTATTTCTTTTCATAAAGTCATTCTCTCTCTCTCTCTCTCTCTCTCTCTCTCTCTCTCTCTCTCTCTGTCTCTCTCTCTGTCTCTCTCTCTGTCTCTCTCTCTCTCTCATACCGGGGATTGAACTCTCAACCTTGTGCTGGCCAGGCAGGCATTTTGCTGCTAAGCTATATTCCCAGCCCCTAAAGTCATTTGATTGACACAAGCAGAAATGAGTTCTTTCTCCACTGGAGTACTATACTACTTTCTAAGTATTTCCTTACTGAAATCAACATATGTTTTTCTTATAATTAATTTGTATATATTTCATCTCTTTTTGGGTGGAAACTGTATCTCACTTTTAAATCATACATATAGCCTTGCACATAATGGGTTTGTCTTACTGAGTATTTAACAAAAGAATTAATGAACAAATTTGTGAATTCATGATTTCCTACTATCAAAATTTTTATACAGATCAATGTTTAGCAGATTATGGTATTTAGATAGAATAAGTTTCTCTTGTATCCAGTCAATATAATGCTGCAAGTACTCCCAAAGCACAAGATTCTCCTTCTTATATAGAACAGGGAAAATATTTTATATATTTCTTATATAGAACAGGGAAAACATGTCTTTGCTTTGAGAAATAAATTAGAACTAGAGCTTTACTGGATATGCAATAAAAAATTAACTTCTCATAAAATGGTTCAACTGAAGTTTATTAGAAAGCTCTCAGTTTTACTGTTTTGCTTGGCAAAAAAAAAGTGTTAACTATGATAAGAAACTATAGGAAGTAGAGCTACACTGACAGAACTATCTAGGATCAGAGAGACCCAGATGATGCAATTAAAAGGCAGACAGACAGGTAGACAGATGTTCGGCTGCATGATCAGGAACAAGACTATATGAAAAGGCTTCTCTGATCATTAGAGATACTGCTATAATGAAGCCCTGGATACCTATGTGGTGTTTCTGCCGGCTCTCATCTACAGCAGGTGTCTTACACAGAAAATAAGGAAACACAAACAGATCCACTGCCAGCTAGTCAAAGCTGTTCGGCGTTTTTTCCTGTTGATTAAGCCACAAATAAAATCATACATGTTGTGCTTCCAACACGGGGAGAGTACACAGTGTATGAATCGTTACAGAATACTGCTTTCTGAACTATTTCATCAGCCATTACTCTGCTGAGATCAAGAAAATACACGTTCAATAGTGTATTCTATGTGATCCAAAACATCCCCAAGGGCCTAGAACATGACACAAGTGGAAATGCCAATATGGATTTAGAAGTCCTACAAAACACAGGACGTAGAATCATCTGGAAAAAGCAGGTAAATCGTAAACCACTAGGCAGAACACTAGGGCTTGAGAATAGTTAACTCTTGGTTATTTAGGAGACTAGAGAACTAGACTGATGTGGGTCAGTGCAAATGGCAGAGCTAAATGCCATTCATATTTGCCTCTGGAATGCACTACAAGGTTCCTCAGCAAGAATGTTGGCTTTTCATTTCATTCCTACTCTGTTGAAAATGAGAGTGTACTGAGAGTACGTATTTTAAATCACTGCAGACTCATCACCAACTGGCAGGGGTGTAGGTGCAACACATGAACTGTCAGGGACATCAGTGGTAAACAGGGATTCTCTTGGGAACAACAGTTGCTGAAAATAATCCACTAAGTAGAGACTTGAGCAACAGTCTGAGCACTGTTACTGACACCCTTCTGTATCAGCATCTCTTCATCCTGTGTTACTCAACTGAAGTTCAGAAACAACCGTAACACTGTTATCTGATGTGGTTGGTGAGCTATAAGGAGCTATGTGACTCACAGTAGCATCATTTCCTATAGAATCTGTTCACTGCTTCTGGTTCTAGGGTTGTGGAAGGGGAAGGAGAGAAAGAAGACAGGAAGAGAAAGGAAAGATCTAGTCACTAAACTCTTAGGCTTAGGGCGTAACTGAGGTGAATGCTTCCGCAAGTCATGCTTTCAAGGACAGATGGTCTTCTTTAACCATAGTTTCTCCTTCTAGGGTTATGACTTCATCTCACACAAGCCTCTGGCTGTATGTATTTATGCACCACTGATCCTGTTACAATGGTCACTGCCCTGCTCTGAAAGATCTAATTGCATGCAACATGGTGGGTCTTTGATGAAGACATGGAAAGATACAACATTTTAAGTTACAGGTCAGAAAAATCAACGAAGACACTGTTGTCCTATATCCTCTACATTTATGGTTACAAAGCTCTTCTCAACACACTTTAATTAGTCATCAGTATCATGTGGCTTTTGCTAAATATAGAAAAACATCACATTGAGCAAGAACCACATGCAAATATAGCTGTCTGCTTCTCAGTTACCGTGGCTCCCTCTCAACTAGATTTTCATGAGCACCACAACCTGAATCTCAATATGATAGCCCAATCTGTGGTGTTACTGATCACGGTCAGGCCAGACTCTCTTTGAATACTAATATCAAGAGGATCACCATGACATCTGCCTACTGTAGGCAACGATGATCAACCATAAAGGTAATCTTAAATTGGGTTCTCTTGCAAGACATTACTAACTCAAATTGCTTTTGTCATAGTTCTTTTCAAAATATATTTTCAATTTAGAACTGGAAGGAAACACAAAGGAGTGGGGCTGCCTGCCTGTGAAGTTCATTGCTATTGCAGTGCTAAATGGGCACAGACTGGGAAGACAAATGAAATAAGACAAATGCACTCTCCCTTATGCTCAAGTATGATATTTAATACAGCTGAACACTGTATTTATTTTTATCTTTGACAGGGCCAGAAATGGTCCCTGACTTTATCTGCAGATGGGATATTCTCAATAATATTTTCCCCTGTCCCAAAGGAGAACAAATGTTTTTCAGAGCTCATCAGCAGCACAAAATTGATGAATACTGTGTATGTACATTCCCTCTTCAACATCATTAAAGATTAAACATCAGGGACTCTTAATAAATGCTAGAAATAACAGCTAAAAATGCATGAGAATGGCAAGACTGGACACCAATATGCATCACGATGGAAAGCATTTAAAAGGTATTTCCTCTAAGTTAGGAGCTATTTATACAGTATATAGAATCTCAAAGTTAGGCTGCTTTATTATTTGAAATTCGTTCTTATATTCCTGCAGAGTTTTGCAGTTTGACCTATTTGTCTTAAGGTTGGACTGCATTATACATTCTTAAGAAGCAGAGGCAAGACAGAGATGGCCCTGAAAATCACCATCAACATTGTAATCAGTCTCTTTGATAGAGGTGATTCAGAGCACTGACATCTTAGGCGCCATTTTCCCTTAAAACGGTATTCTCATTCATCTGAAGACAGAAGCAGAGGCCCTTGCCTTAAATTTGCAATGTTTAAAAATGGAAGAAACACCCTATTGGACTCAACGACCAGACATTAACAAAGTGAAATTAAGGAATCTAAATGAGGGGTGAGGAGAGATAAAGAACACTTAGGTTTGTCCTGATCTTTCCATTAAGATATCCAATATTCTTTTCTGATTGAAAACTGTGATTTCAGATTAGTCACTCTAACTATATTATAAAAAGCAAATGCAAGAGATTTTTCAAAAAGTTGATCCAGCTTAAATTTGGCAACAAACAGGGTAGAAAAAGTTTTTTTTTTTTTTTTAAAGAAAGAAAATGCAACCTAAATGGATAGCATCAAATTCTCAAAATTACTCGTTTACTCAGTGATGATCATGAAAAACATTTTTAGAGATCTACTCCAAGGTAAGATTTTTCAGGAGGCTCCCTGATCTAAGTTATGGCAATACATCTTCCCTTCTCACCATGAATAATGCTACAAACAGAAACTCATTTCCTGGGTTCCAGGCTTCTAACACTCATATCTCCACTTTAAAGATGGGACCAGCTGGGGATTTACTCAGTGGCATAAGTGCCTGCCTTGCAAGCAGGCAGTCCTGAGTTCGATCCCTGGTACCGATAAAAAGGAAAAAGACAAAAAAAAAAAAAAAAAAAAAAAAAGATGGGACCTATCATCTGTCTTTGGAGAACAATGTCTTTTCTAAAGGGAAGGAAGTTCTAATATGCTGCCTTGAGAAGCACCACACTAAGCAATCAAGGGCTGGGGATTTCGCTCAGTGATATAAGCATCTGCCTGGCAAGTGTGAGGTCGTGAGTTTGATCCCCAGTACCCTCCCCCCCCCAAAAAAAAACCACACTCAAACTAAGCAATCAAAGAATCCAAAATATAGTCTCACATAGATATTTGATTCCCTCCCTTTTTTCAAACTAACAGAAGATTGATCTTACATTTTAGGCACATGAAGTAAAATGGGTATCACACAAAACAAGTGCTATCCAAATTTTGTCCTGAAGTGCTCTTGAAACAAAATTTTCAGGACTAATATTCCTTAACGTATACAATGGGAACGTTCGTGCCTCCTATCCCTGATTTATCTTAACAGCTGAGATCTGCTAGTACTGAAACAAAGCAGCCCAACTACAGGGAGGAAAGATGGTAAGAAAGTGTGAACGTGTGGGGCTGCTTCCTCACGGTCCTCGCTGTTGACGGCCTCCTGAGGAGGTGGATGCATCATTTAAAACTCTAGGCTGTGGCTACAAAGTCACATTTCTTCTGGTCATACCCATTTTAAGGTGGGGTTCCAGACTGCGAAAGTTTGGAGAAAGGAGCGTTTCAAAGCATCTGTGAACCACTAGCCTTTCCCTGAACACAGCTCCCTCAACCCCGAATAGTTTTAGCACTTTTACTGTCCATAGCTTCTTTCACACTTTAGGGGATTTACTCTGAGTGAAGGCAGAAGAATCTCTAGTCTAAAGCAAAATTCCGTATTGATGTTTAGGATGATTTCAGCATCAGCACACTAAAGGGAAAGTGTGGATGAAAGATTCTGGTTATTATTTCTAAGGCTGATTCACCTTCACTGAAGAGCCCACAGCTACTAGAAAAGATTTTATTTTTCAAAAGAGAGATAGGATACCACTAGGTGACCGTGGCAAACAGAAAAGCTAAGCTTCACTTTCGGTGGCTATGACACAGCCTGGGGGAAAATACGCATGGCAGCAGTGAGTCTTGGGCTTTGGGAAGTTTAGTCCCTGGAGCACTCACGGTTTAAAGCTGACCCTAGGAGGTATTCAAATCAGTCCCCTTACCACACTTACCTGACTCAAAAACAACAGAAAAACTGAAAAGAAAAAAACAGGTTTAGTCTTCTAAAATCTTCTGAGAGTGCAGCACATAAAATATCTTGTGATCTTCTACAAGATGCAACATCATGTTTACAGCATCTAAAACTAACAGGAGCACCTTTGTATGAAACTGGAAATACAGCCCCAAGCTATTTTCTGTGAGCAGTAGAATGGAAGAGTGTGCAACAGTTGGGGTTCTGGGTTTAAAACTGGGTTCCAATCCAGGTTCCCTATTTGCTACGCATGTGACCTCGACTAAGCATTCAGGGTTCTCTAAGTCTCCCTCTCCCTGGCAAAATAAAATGAAATAATGAAACAGAGAGACAGAGAGAAAAGTTGTTATCCCATGTCACTATGATGGTGCATTTTGCAGTCACTGAGCTGTTCTGTATCTTGATTGCATATATACATTTGTCAAAACTTATAGAACTGTGCATAAAAAGAAAAAAAGGCAACATTTTACTATTTGCTGATTTAAAATGAAATAAAAATGTGTATGTGCCTATAAATAATACTGCGTAAAGCATTCAGTACACACACATACACAGACACACACAGAGTTTACTACAATGTTTAGTACATAATAAGCATTTGAAAATGCTCATTATTCATACAGTATTTGCTGCTGTTGTTGTCAGTGAGCCTCACAGAACATATGCATCCAGGGTAACAGAAACAAAGGGGCACCTGGTTGGCCTCGATAAGGTTGTCAGTGAGTGAGACAGAGTGATGGGAAGGAAAATGGTGCGCGCCATGCAAAGCCCAACACTGGGCTCCAGCCGGAGCCGAGCTGTGTGTCAGTGGGAAAACACTGCCATCTCTGTGCCACTCCCAGGTTAGGAAAAAGACACATTACCAGCTGCAATTACAAGATGCCAGAAGAAAAAAAGGAAAGAAAAAGAGCAGCTATTTCTGCTGCTAGACGTGCAAACAAACCAACTGAGAAAAGTGCTTTGATGAGCACAGTGTATGCTGCTGGGTGTGTGGGCTGGATTCCACCTCATCCTCCGAGAGGGAGGGATGAATAATCCTCCGGGTTCCGACTCTAATGGGTGCGGTGTATAAAAGCCAGCCAAGTATACATTCTATTCTTAATAACATCGAATTCTGCTCTTTTTTCATGTAAAGATTTCAGCATAAGAAGTTGGAAAGGGAAATTTTTTAAGGAAGCGAAGGATAGGGAAACCAGTTCAACACTAGGTTCTGGTATGCATGTAATCACAGAGATTTTCTATGCCTGCATTTTAAAAAATGATGTTTTTGCTCAAGAACCAATAAGCCACTGGCTGCTACAGCCCATCTAACGTGTCGACGATCCCTGATGGGCAAGCAGAGGACAGGAAAGCTCTTATCTGGTTGTGAAAATGCATTCCCTCTCAATATGCAAGTCTATTTTTCTTCCTGCAATAAACTACATTTGCTTGATGTGGTATCTGATAGTTTTATAGTGTTTGTTCACATACTTACTAATTTGCAAGATTGGGTAATTTGCAATGGGTCTCATAGGTCATTAGTGCAAACTAACAGCATTCTGTATGAGATAAAGCAAGAAAAACTGGTGCTCTGACACAGTGTGCAGCAAAGCACTGTATTTCAATTTAGGAATGTGACACCTTTGAATTCACTCTTTCATAGCAGGACACTAGATCTTACCACCCATGCCCTTACCCCTGTGCCCTATGGGAGGTGGGAAACATTAGTGGAAGAGATTTTAATCCGCCTCTTTAATCTCTGGGCTGTGATACACTTTGAAAATATACAACTGTATTAACATCCTGGCACTAGTCCACCCTAAACAGTTTACTGTTTATGTTTGAACCTGAAAAGAAGGCACAAAGGCATCCTTCCTACACAATCCCCTAGGCCTTCTTTTTGGCATGGAAAGCACACACATTTTTGTAAAATTACTCAATGTATACAGCTGCATTCTACAGTTTTCATTAAGAATTCAAGAGATGAAAACTCCTGGCTTCCATAGGAAGGTGACTAAATCTACAGGGATATTATGTACAAATAGTCTGGTTAGAATAATAAATGCCGCATGTGCTTTATAATGTTAGACATGTGCAACATGGATTCATTTGTGATCTGAGTCTCAGATTTTAAAAAATGGATCCTTGCCTGCCTTGAGATAAACTTAAGTAAATAATGTTTGCCATCAACTCTAAATGAAGAATGACAGTTAAATTTTATAATCATCTTCACAGCTTCAGGACTTACTTTATATTTTCTCAGGCTCATGACCCAAAGGTTGCCATAGCAACTAGGAAATCCTACCTTATCAAGCGCTTACATTTACATTCCTTGCAGCAGCTTCCCTTTATGAATTAAATCCATCATGGCCTTCTATTCTCAAAATAAAAAGTTCTTAGGATTATCTTGCAGAAACAAGGATCAAATGCTTTGATAGAAATACACTATGTAGAAGTTAATTCAATGGCAGTTTTTCTTTAGGAAGAGATATAACTATGGCATTATAAACAGTTTATGTCCAAACTTCCTGGCTTCAAAGAAAACCTAAATAGAGACATTGTGGTAACAATGACACATCTACTAGCTATGTACTTTATCCTAGAATTATCAGAGAAAATCATCTGATTGGATATCACACTTCAGACAGGTATGCAAACAAAGAATTAAAACTGCTTAAGATAGAGCCCTGTTGCACACACAGAAATGTTAATAAAATGGGTAACAAATGAATGTGCTCACAATTCACAAAGTGAAAGAAACCAAATGACGAGCTTTGCTTAGTTAAGTGCTTATTTGGTACAATTTTTGTCTGCTTTTGGAGTAGTCACAGTACACAAAATATGATATGATTGCCTTTGTGTTTCCAGTTGCACGCAATAATTACATAAGCATCGAAAAGCCTGTCTCTGACAGACTCTGAGAGGAAAGGGATGACTACATTTAGAACTGTAATCTCAGATGCCTGGACTGTCCCATCCAGGCAAGAAATAGAAACTTGGAGAGGAGGCACAGAAGCTCAGACGGTGAAACGAGAACTCATTCAACTAAGTGAGCAAACCAACCTCTGAGCAACACACTAGAATCCGAATCAACTGGAGCCCTCAAGTCACTGCCTGACAAGAGCTTAATGGAGATGATGTCAAGATAGAAAAAAATTGGATTTTAGCCTCACCTGCCATGCAACCCCAGAAGGCCAGAAGATTATCTAGACTCTCTTATGGGCGCCTCACAGCCCAGACAAGTCTCTGATGATGTACACAGACCTCAACCCAGTTTGCATTGTCAGAAAGAACGTTCCTCTCTTCTCGTTCTGTCCAATGCTGTCTTTGAAATTCTTCTCATTTGCTGTGTTTCCAGCCCTCTGCTTCCTGTCGGCAGTTTTTTGCTTTTTGTCCTTTCGGGCTCTGCTGCTTATATGCACCTTTGATTCTCAATCTTTTCGCTCCTGTGTAGCTTGAAGAGTCACAGCACAATGCGATAAAGGATAAACAGAGTATATTGGCTGGCTACAATGGAAGAGGGATTCTTTAAAGTTCTATTAAAACCTAGTTCCTTCTACCACCACTGGCTCCTTCCCTTTTGTGTTTTCTACAGATAACAAGGAACCGGCATCTTGACTTCAGATTTTTTGGATGGGCAATAGCCCAGTTCTAACGTGTTCAAAGATGTGAAGGACAGGGATGCTTTCAATGCTTTATTAATGACACAAGGTGGATTTCAACATATTTAATTCTGATCAAATTCTAATAAAAGAATATGCAATGTAGACTTTCAGGCAGTATAAAACCTAGTTCTGATTGTATGAAATTCCTGCATATTTTTCTACATATCAAATTTTCATCAATAAAAGTACTAACATCAAAACATTAGTTCAAGTCCATTTGTGGGGGAAATACATACATACACACACACCCTAAGATTAATGATCACATGTACAATAGTGTCACTGTTATTAAGGATCCCCATAGTTGTTGATATAAAACAGCATCTGAGAAAAAAATTATGCATGTTCCGAAAACAGTACAAAAGATGTTATATATGTTGAAGGTTTCTGAGTTACGGAGTATTATTATTATTAAATTAGTGAGCAAGATGAACTCTTACAAGGCATCTTCCCTAACAAATTTGTTAACCAAAGATTTAATTCGGATGTGTCCAACTGCTAAGTCACAAGATGCATGCATTCCTGAATAGCTAATGATGTGGCCCCACAAGATGGTAAACTTTTAATCCTATTGTATGATCTTTAGTCCTCTTTTTCCTGACCTGAGTGCACCATGCTGCAGTGTGGACTGCACAGGTGTGATGTGGATGCTGTTTATGGAAGGACAGAGTGCAGTGCTAACTCTGCCCCGGTGCATGCACAGAAACCCAGGTGTATCAGACACTACATGAGCTTGTCCAACGTGGCAAGTAAACGGAGAGATTATCAGAAGCCCCATTTCATTGTTTCTACATGTCAGTGCCTGTGAAGACAGGTGTTTACTGTTATTAAGCAGCTGTGTAAGTTTTCCTATTTTTCTAATTATGAAACTTGACTTTCACCAGCCCAGACACTGATACATTTGTCTTAGTTACTTTTCCCATTGCTAAGACAAAAATACCTGACACCCAAAGTTAAAAGAAGACACATTTATTTAACTCACAGTTCCTAAAGCTTTCGGTTTATGGCTGGGTGGCGTGGCAGAGGGGCCTCACAGAGGACAAACAGTCCATGGGGCTCATTGTGGCAGCAGTGAAGAGGAAGGCAGCACGCAGCAGTGACGAGCAGGGCCCCTCTTTCCTTCCCTTCTGTCCTATCCAGGGCCACCAGCCTTCGTTCTAGCACCACATTCTTAGTTCCAGGGTCACACGCCCTAGATCCAGCCCCCACTGAGAAGCCCCACCTACCACTGCATGAGGCTCTGGGGGGACATCTAGATACAAGTCATAGTAACAACATTAGTTTCACAAAGACAGGTCAAATATCTCAACAGTTTTATGTCTATTTTGCCCTTCATTTTAAATGTCATAATAAAATATATTCAAAAGGGAAGTTTTGTTGATTATATCATATCTTTTACATGCAGACAAAGGGCATTTCTTTTCACTCAGTGTGGCCCAGGCAAGTCAAAAGGCTGGACACCATGGTGAAATACTAAGGATATTTCTAGAATTTTTTTTTTTTAATGAACACAACTTCACTACATTGTAATGAAATCCATACAGATATGGCAATAGGTACACACACTGACATGCAAGAGTTTTAATTCAGTTAACGCACACTTCACTCCTTACTGGGTCCCGGTAAAAATCTGGTATCCAACTTATGGATGTACTGATTAATTACTAGTGCTTTACTCTTCAAAAAGAGAAATACTTGAGTTGTCCACCCATATTTCATACAGGACAACAAGCAGGACTGAGTAATTGAGTGAGATAGACCTGTACAGCCAGCACGTCAGAGGGCTTTGGCATCATATTAAAACAGGTAAGGAAGTATCTCAGGCCAGTCCAACATACAAGATAGCTGTAACATAAATAAGTGCGCTTATTTTTACTGAACTAGATCTCCATAGTTGAGGGCACCTCAATTCCTACATTGCAGGGATATTTGTTATACACCTACAATCCACTGAAGATATGTTCACCATATTTGGTAAAAGCTTCAATGAAAAGAAACATTTATGATAACTAGAGTCTACATATTTGACAACATAATTTTCCTTTGCAAAAGTAACTTAAATAGGTAAAGTGTGCTAGGTAGCCAGATTCTGCAAATCAAACAGCACATTCCTCAAAGGGCCCTACCTTCCTTCAGTTAGAAGACCAAAAAAGCAGCTACCTTGTTTCCCATGAAAAAGAAGACCAAAAAAAAAAAAAAAAAAAAAAAAAAGAATACAAAGAAACAAGACCAGGAAAACATTTAAAAATGGATTTTCAGCTATTTCAGCAAAGGGGAGAAAATGCTTTGGGCCGAGTTACCACCACCATCTAACACCTGTTTGAGCACCAGAGTCTTTCACACCTAGGAGTGCACCTCAGTCTTCAAGTGTATATAAGGTGCGACGTTAAGTTAATGAGATTAAAACTTTTAAGAAAAAAATCATCGCAATTTATAAATAACTTAGGTAAGTATGAACTTTGACAAAGTAGCCTTGAACAGGCAAACCCTGACACTCCCCCACATATTCTGAGCTACTTCCTCAGAAGCTTCCACATTAAACTCCAGTGATTTACAGCTACACCTCGATTTTGTTTTAAATTCACAACTTCAGTGTCCACTTTGAAAACGTGATTCCAAATTACTTAGTTTCAAGTAAATCAAATTACTCTAAAAAGGATAATGATCTGCTACTACTGAGACTATTCAAATAATAGCCAAACAAAATTCATAAAGAGAAGCTAAAAAAGATGTTCCCCAATGGCAGCCTCAACGAAGTTAAGTCTATGTGACCTTCTAAAATGATTACTACAAAACACAGAACGCATGTTTTGTTCGCTTTACTTCTAAATGTTTTTGGTTCTTAACAGATAAAAATGTTAAACGTTACAACAGAAAGTTTCAATATTCTAGTGCAAAACATTCTATAGTCAGGTAAAGAAATATATCTCTGTTCTCCAGAAATAATTTTTTTAGGAACCTGATGCTCAAGCTCAGATATAAGGGACCTTAAGTTATACACAGCAGATACAATGTATACAGAGAAATTTGAACTAATGTTAATTTTAAATCTGTCTTCTCATTCACCAAGTATACTAAAAAAAAAATTTCAATGAAGACCATGAAAGATAATTTCTGTTTACAGTAATGTTCATGTAATGGGTCCCAAAGGAAAATAATAGTATTCGACTACATTCTTCCAAAAGGTACTGTATTTTTCACGTTCTAGTGCTTTGTAGCATGGTATAGGCATCAGTAGTATCCAAAACTTTTTTTCTTTTGAGGAATCAGTCACACACAGTACAAATGCCATGGCATCATCCCTTTACTTTTTGAATGAAATTCACTCATTCATTCTTCTGTTTAGTCAGTCAACAAATACGTATTGAAGCACTGTGCCGGATACGAATGCAGATGATAATTACCTCTTTCAACTTCAAATTACCTATATAGACAATAAGCATTCAATTAAACTCCACTCTACACAAAAGGTAGAGATTTGCTTCCACAACCTGGCAAGAACGTTTAAGCATGGCATAAACTGTATTCACAATTTAGAAATTAAATCAGAAATGCTCTGCTGAAACCATTAATTTCGGGTTTCAATTTTCTTTTATCTTCTTTACTCTAATACCAGCTATAAATCATATCACTACTCACTCATTCTTCTAGGACACGGGAACATTTAAACGAAGGTTCTGTTTATTCTTTCACCAAACCAGCCACTAAATTTAAATGAAATGTTCTTGGGGTTAGAAAAACATGCCATTTCTTTCAAAGTTGTCAATCCTCAAAGAAAGTTAAAAAGAAAAACCAAAAGAAAGACCATCAATGCATAATTTTAAACGTACCGACTAGCTTTAAGCCCTTGAGCTTTCAATATATAATCCAAGTATTCTGTCACAGTAAAAAAGAAAATAAAAGAGTCGGTGACTGGGGAGAAGGGTGTGGTGAAGTATTAGTGCTTTAAAGTAGTTCATTTTCTCTGAGCGAGGCAGTTGTGCCAATTCGATCACCCAAAGAAGTCTAATAAAGGATTTCAATTAGTCACTTTTTCTTTTATTTTTGTCAATTACGAAATACAAATGTCAGTTCTTGTAAGTTACATAGAAAAGAAATGGGAACACGATGAATATCAAGCTTCCCTCATAGCTAAGCAGCTTCGGTTAGCCAGGTAAGACACGACTTCTGGCTCTAGCCTCTTGCAGAGTCCTTGAGGCCAGCCACTCACTCGATCCTCTGAACCTCTATAGCCTCATCTGCGAATGCAGGTTAGAACAGTATCACGACTACTCCTGTAAGCATTAGTAGCATTTCCATGCAGTGCACGCCATGGCGCTGATACTGTGATACTCTGGAGAATACTCCCAAGGCTCGCGCTTACAAACCTAGATATGAAGGGGAAATAGATGCTGATGTAGTTTTGTCTTTTGGTGGCTGTGGGGACATGGAGATTAATGCAGGGTAGGATGCTAAAAGCTAAAAACACAAACTTTGTGGTAAATTCAATATTTCAGACACCTTAAACATCTCTACTGTCTCAAGATTTTAAATTTCTTCAAGGGGAAAAAAGGTACAAGAGAATCATATATGCACAATCACAAAAAGCAAAATAAGAAAACTTACTCAAAATGTAAGGCAATGATTATGCCCAAGAAGCTTTATAGTTAGCTGAAAATGCCAAGAAAAAAGGAGAATAATCAGTTTATCTGAAATCCTCATGAAGATTATCACTGTATCAGTTTTTCTAACTTAAACTATACTAATGACAATATTCCGGAAGTTTGTATGGTACCTGCCTTCTTAAATTGAATGCAACAGAAAGAAAGAATTCACATATACTGCTGACTCAGGTCAACATTCACGTCCTGCCAAGTATTACCAATGAATTTTTTATGCTACTTGAGGCAACTTGCATT